TATTTTTTATAACTTAATTTAATAGTGTCGTTTGTCATAATATTCACATTTTATACTAACACTTATAAAAAGCACTTTTTATATAACAATCAGATAATTTTTACGAGCTAGTGAACTGTATCTGTAATGTGCCCCTCCTTTAGTATTTCAGGTTACTACTTATACCAAAAACCATAATCGTATTTGTTTGCGTTTCCGAACATGTTTTAGATAAAATTTATGTCAGTTTAATAACTATTTAGTTATGTACACTGAGCGACCGCGTGCGTCTATTTACATGACATACAATATATTGTATCATGCTCCACCCTGAACAACATATAATATAAAATAATTTATTTCTTATTATTCATGTCTACATGTTTTATTTTTATTGCATATCATTATGTTTTTACTAGTTTTGTGAAAATATTCTACTAGTTTGTTATTATTATTGATACAAAAAACGAACAACACAAAAAATATCCTTCGATGTAACTGGACGCGCACCAGCGTCTTTTGCCTCAACGTGGCTACCAGTCGGATCGAAAGAATTTTTCTTTGTGTTTGTTCGATCTTCGTATCCATAATAATAACGAATAAGAGTATAGTTCGCAAAATATAAGGGAAATGCCATACGGGCGTTGCTTCGGCGTTGTGTTATCGCATCTCCATTTTATTACACATAAGGGATCTCTCTTATGTGGCGCTGCGACGTCGCAATTGCGTTGTACTACATATAAATCAGAAAGATATGCCACACAGTGCATTGAAACAGCGCGCGTCGATGGAACAGCTCTCGCTGTCATGGTGAAATGCGCTCTATTTATTTAGCTATAACGTTTTAACTTAAATAAGCATCCCGGGTACGCAGGCGAGATTGGCTTGAATGTGGCCTACGCGGCGGCCGCGAGGCAACCGCGCGGTTTTGTTGTTCAGAGGAATTTAAATGTTGTTGCCTAGTAAATACAATTCAGATTGGCCATTAATGTACATGAAGGCGTGGTAACTATCTTTCGCCTCGGCGACTTAAGGTTAATGATTGTTATCAATCTTTATATCTTTTTTATATAAAACCGACCTCAAAAGTTCGTGGAATTACATCTATTTGCCAAGTTTTATTTTATTGAAATCGGTTACTGGAAACGACGCGAAACCAGATTCATTCCCTACTTTGCCACAGGAAATATTTCAACTCTAAAGGTAGAATATTTCCTTCAAATTTAAATGAGATCAATATTGAGGTACCCTCTTTCCAACAAAAAAGAATCTTCAAAATCGGTTCACAAATTATCTGAAATTATCGTGTCACATACGCACAAAAAAATACAGTCGAATTATACCTCCTCTTTTTTGAAGTCGGTTAATAAAATACGATTAATGAACGTAGGTCATGCTCCCGCGTCAGACGGAAATATTTAACTGATTGCAGCCTGCTCGCGTCGGTTGCAGCATTTGTTTGCAGATAATTCTGTTACGTTCCATTATGTAATGTAATCGTGCGCCGGCGTTGCCGGTTGCTCTACATTTTTTGTCTTGGGTCTATGTGACTGCATTGCTCTGCTTCTGATACAAACCGACCATGCCTTTTCGGTCTAATTTACAGCCTCGTAAATATTGTTCAATCAATCTAACATACAAAACTCTTGAGGTAGTTGAAACTACAATATCGTATAGGTTTTCGACCGGCCCCATTTTTATGAGCTTAAATATCCATGCGGTATCAAAGTATAAATGATAATCATAGAAAAAATCATACTCAATTCAATCATACATACATAATTAGTTATAATATTAGTAGTAGAGCTCCTTGTGAACGAGTGCGTCCAGGGAAGGACAGCCACCTTACCTACTTCTGCCGCCAAGCAATAATGTCAGCATAAGTGTATTCCGGATTTGAAGGGTAAGGGTGCTGGTGAAATTACAGGCACATAGGACTTGTCAACTTATGTCTCAGAGTAACGGTCGCAGTGGTAGTGCCCCTCAGATCTTTGCTATTTAAAGCTCTGAGTAGCACTGCAACTGTTATGGACAGGCGTGTCGCTTACTACCAGGCGCAAGACGTGTTCGTCCTACCAAAAAAAATTTGGATTTTCATTTCATAAAGATTCCTATTTTTATTCATAAAATGCAACTCTAAAACTCGTTGGATGGTCTCTTTGTCATCATAATCGTGTCCATTTTTTATAGACCAAAAAACAAGCGAAAATTTTTAGGCACTACGTAGGGCAAATACAATGGATGAGGCATGGATGAGGTAACTTCCGAGTCAAACTGCCTCAGTGGCCGAATGGTTACCTTGTTGGACTATCACGTAGAGCTTCCGGGTTCGATTCCCGGTCTGGGAGAAATAATTTGTAGTTGTCAATGTATGTCTCCATGGCACCCGCGATACAGAGTTTCCCTAGGCTTTGAGTGTGTGCATTAAAAAACTGTAATAGATTTTGACCCATATGTAGACGATTCTTCGTTTCGATTGATCGTCACGGCAATTGTGTCGATCTGTCGATAATCCCCTAGCGTACAAGTTAATCGTTAACGACATAACCATACACTAACGGTTCGTCTCTTCGATCTGTCTGAAACGACGAATCGTGAAGACGAATCGAGCACTTGAGATGTGTGTGGTTCGCGTTTTTCATGAATTATAAACTTAAAACTTTTCCGCCTATTTTTAACATGCGTGTTAAAATATTATTTGTAAAACGACCATAGACAATAAAAAAATACTTTTTCGGTTTATAGTTGCCTAGTGGCAAAAACCGCACGGACTTTTTGTTTAGACCATTATTTGATCAAATTTCAATTAGATTTTGGTCTCCATACATCTCCAGATATGAATTGAATGTAGTTTACAATGATTCTGTCCAAAATCCAACCACTGTTTTGTGTATATTATGAGATCAATGCAAGAAGCATGATTAAATGAATACCAAAATCAAAAAGGATTTAACATTAAGTGTCTAATGGCGTTAGAATGAATAGTCATCATCTTCTTCTTCCTCTTCAAGTGCCTCTCCATTATTAACGCGTGTACACACTCATAGCCTCGCACTAGGGAAACCCTTTGTCGCGGGTGCCATGGACACACAATGGACAACGACAAATTACAACCAAACTCACGAGAGAGATAAATGTAGGCCATACAAATATTTCTCCCGGCCCGGGAATCGAACCCAGGACTACTACGTGGCAGTCCGGCATGGTAACCGTTCGGCCACGGAGGCAGTTAAAATTGAAGGTCGGCAGTCAGTTTTCTATATCTTTCTTTGTCCAGAGCTAGCCTGAACAGTTGTTCCATAGTCTTGATGCCATCCACTCCCTGATGTTACGAAACCATGACATTTTGCTAGGTATCGTCTATTGTCCATCATTATGATGTTCAATAGATGATACCTCTCATGTCGCAGTACATGACCCAAATTGCCTACCTTCCACTGCTTGACAGTCCGTACCAACTCCACCTTCTTCGCTATAATACGTATTCTATGTTTTTTATAATAGTTTATTGTATAAGTTGCGTGCACCATATTGTCGATTATCAAACGTTGTAAATAGTCCACATTTTATGGCCATTAAGATTTTTAACTGGCTACCTAGTGACCTAAGAATATTGCCACTAAATGCATTTTGACGTGAAATAATGCTGCTTAATTGGTTGCTACACTACTACTACTACTCCGTAAAAAATAATAAAAATAATAATAATAAATAAATAATAATAAACAATAAATAATAAATAAATAAAATAATATCTGGAACGCAAAGGTAATTCGTAGTTCAAACAAACCGATTGACATCTCTACGAATGACATTAATCTAATCTGTAATTTATAAAACGATTAATGTAACATTATTATAATAGTACTACGGCCTTCATAAAAAAGCTCAAAGTCGCTCAACGAGTCATGGAGTGAGCAATGCTCTACGTGATCGAATCAGAAATGAGGAGATCCGTAGAAGAACGAAAGTCACCGACATAGCTCAAAGGGTTAGCAAAGTGGCAGTGGGCAGGGCACATATCACGCAGAAGTGACGGCCGTCGGGGCAGAAAGGTTCTCGAATGGAGACCACGAACCGGAAGGCGTTAGAAGAACGGCCCCCTACTAGATGGACGGATGACCTGGTAAGGGCGTCGGTAACCGATGGATGCACGCCGCATCCGATCGACTAGTCTGGAAATCATTAGGCGAGGCCTATGTTCAGCAGTGGACGTCTTCCGGCTGATATGATAATGGTGAATTATAATAGTAAAACCTAATGATAATTTAATATTCATATCTTAGACATAGTATAACTTAAATATGTTACGATAATAATAGAGTTTAAATGTAATACTCTGAATCAATGTATTCAACAATTTGTGGTACTTTACATGAAAGTATTGGTCCGCACTTATTGCTAGATTTTTGGTGACACTTATTACTTGTATTGGTTCGGAATCCGAGAAATGATAGGTGTCCAAGCGATATTCGTACTTTCTCGGATTTTAATCGGACTCAGTGCACAAGCGATATCTGACTGAACATCAAATTGTTACAACAAAAAATCACACAAATACATACATTTCATTGAAATTTTGTGGTGTGGTTCTTTTATTGGAGCCTTTACGTCTTCATTACGGTCTCTGTCTTTTTGACATTACAGACCATGGATTTGGTGAAAATGTTAAACTATCACTTCTCTTATTTTTATTATTATGTCCCATACATTGGCATTCAGCATTGACTTAAGTCAATGATATTCAGTCATAAAATTTTCTTGACGTAGCGTATAACTAATCTTGAATTAAATTAATAGTTGTAATCCAAAAATATTTTATCTTCACGTGCTTGTAATTATTAGCTAAGAGTCCGCTCTTAAAGAAATGTCACGAGTAATAAAACAAAACAATCTCGAAACATATCTTGGAAAGGCAGCAAATCCTGCATTGGCAACCATCACCGAGCGCAGCTTGGCAGCACCTCTCCCTCCCTACAAATAATAGAATTTTCGGCGCCAGTCGGCATTCTCTATCCAACGTTCGTTCGATTCATTCCTAATTAAAAAAGTCCCAATTCTAATTTTGTTTTTACAAATTCATTTTTGATAAACTGCACAAAGAGCAGTTTATTTCAAATTTAACGGTAAAGTTCGGAATTAAAAAATGAAAGTGCTATTTGTTTTCGCGGTGTTTGTTACAAGTTCATATGGGAGAGTAACACGTAAGTTTAACTATACTTAATTTTAGTAGATAATAACTATGTAGTCTCCAACCAACTGAAGAAATTGAATGAAAGCTTTTCTGATTCACTGCTAGAGGCCAAAATCAAGAATAAGAGGCAGAGGGTTGGAATACATAAAGCGAGTCTGTACGGAATGTTAAAAATATGATGAAAACAACATGGAGAGAAAAAACTCTACTAGTGACTGAAAACATTGTTTCGAAATTTATTCGAACTTATTAAATTTGGCACATTTTTGGGTTAGACTAATCTCTAATTACCTCATAAGTCAGTACACCTCATATTTGTATGTCTTCAATTAATTACGCCAGTGTTATGTATTACTTAAAGGTTATTCAATTATTCGGTAACCGAAATTTTAACTTTGCAAGACCTTGAAGATTTAAGAGTAATATTGATTAATAATACGAGGAATATATCGATGAAGGTGAAACTTGTTGACTTGAAGGCCCTTGTACTTATTTCACTGATGTTATTTATAAAATTTTAATATTGAAAGTTGTTTAACCTCGTGTACACAAATTTTTATCTGGGTATGTATAGAAAAGTTATCACAGAAATCACAACCCTTGAACGGTAGTAGCCCAGAGAAAGAACGGTTGCTTCTCGGCTGAGAAGTCGATGGTTCGAATACCTGTGTGTACATTTTTTTACCTATGACTTTAATGCCTAAGTAACGTATATTCGTGAAAGTTTAGTAGTACCTAATACCTCTCGTGAAGGAAAACATTGAATCCACGGTTAACAGGTCTTTCTCTTAAAGAGACCCGTGCCCAACACTGGGAGGTAAAATGAGTTGTCGAAAATGACAATTTTGTATGTAACGCGTAGAAAACTACGTGGTAGATAAACGTGTATGAACAGACGACATGGCTCTAGGTTCCACACAAATTTGATTCAAAGTATTCCTTACCATTGAATTTTATTTGAGAGCAATCCCTAGAGTTTCTTGCTCGTTCTTCATAGTAATAACGCACACATGAGTGTGTGCGTGATAGTGAATGAGCAGTAGCTTAAAAGCGATGTTTTCAAGTGTAAATTTATTTTACCTATGGAATACTTTGACTTTACATCCAAACTCACGACAAAAAATAAGTGTAGGCCCGGGAATCGAACCCTGCACCTCTGCGTGGCAATCCAGCATGGTAACCATTCAACCGCGTAGGAAGCTTAAATTCTGAATAACTTATAATCAACCGATTCTCAATTCGTATTTTGTCGGCGTCTGTGGCCTATCGGCTCTTTGGTGGCTGAGGAAGTCCCGAGTTCGATTCCCGATGGGACCAATTTGGAAAATAAACCTTTGAATTGGCTCTGAGTATTCAGGATAGTACCCGGGAGTGAATTTCGTCGCTCTGGTAGTCATAGCACAGTTAAGTACCTATGCTTGTCACTCTGAGACATAAGTTCACAAGTCCCATGCGCCTGTAATTTGACCAGCACCCTTACCCTACAAAACCGGAACGCAGTAATGCTCACATTACTGCTTGGCAGCAGAAATAGATAAGGTGGAGCTCTATTGATACTAAAACTTTCCATATTTGTTACTTTGAACCAGCCTGTCACCTACAATGCCAAAATATTAGCTTGCCTCCCTATTAGGAATTCGGTACTAAATTGGTATGGATAACTTATCGAACATTTAACATAACAACTCTAATATGCATTGGACCTGGCTGCTTGTCCATCTAGTCCAAGGTTCCGCTCGAGAACCTTATCTGTTTAAACCTAGAATATATTAACTATATATAAACAGTTTAGAACATAGGTTTTGGGTAAGCGGCGGTTAGATTACTAGACTCGACCCTTGTTAGCATTGACTTAGATTTACTTTGTAAATTACCTGATTGTAGAAATTATTGTGCCAGCATTACTGTGTTCCGGTTTTAAAAGGTAAGGGTGCTGGTGAAATTACAGGCACATGGGACTTGTCAACTTATGTCTCAGGGTAACGGGCGCAGTGGTAGTGCCCCTCAGACCTTTGCTAGTTAAAACTCTGAGTGGCACTGCAACTGTTATGGACAGGCGTGTCGCGTACCGTCAGGCGCACGACTTGTTCGTCCCATCACTTAATATTATTAAAACAA